TGGGAGCGATGTTATTTTTTTGTAAGTTTAAATTCCAGGGTACCTTGGTTGTTGCTTTTACAATTTAACCCGGTCAGCCAAAACTTTCTCTTCTTATTTTCCTCCTGCACATTCTTTTCTGGTTGAGTTCTTCTTTGTGGTGGCCATTTCTGACCACTGCTGCAACTGCCTTCAGGAAAGGGAGTAATGGCCAGCTCAGGAAGAGAGATGCGGCTCTCCTTGACACTGCTGGCGGTCTCCCCCCTCTTCACCACCTCTACGGGTTGGCTTAGCCCTGAAACGAGCCGGCTTGGGGTGCTCCAGCGGCGAGCCCAGACAGAAACCGCGCACGATCGCGGATTTCTGTCTGTCGCCAAAGCCCTTCAAACTGGAAGTCCTTGTACTAAACACATTTTAGATTTTAGGGTGGGGGTTTTATACAGAAAAAGAAAAAGAGGAAGCTAACAGAAAAGCATCAGAAAGAGCAAGAAGAATTTTCTAGTCTAACTACATAAAAATTCCATTATAAAAGAATAACTCATAATTCTTTTCTCTCACATGTTATTATCAAGAAAGTAGCATGAATGAGTTCCTGAAACATGATAGCAGGATATTCCTGTGAGGAAAAGCATTGATGAACTAGAAAGCATTCTTTAATTCTTCCCTTTTAATTCCAAGTAATTGCAAAAAAGCCTGCTCCTAAGCTGTCCTCCAGAGCCTTGGGAGAGAAACAGCAGAGAGCAGCAACTGTACCAGGCTGATGTTTTCCACACATTAAATTTCACATTTTCTTTCCATTGCTCCTTTATTACCCTGACGTATTCATTATCATCAGTCATGTTTTGGAGAACAGAATTTTGCCCAAAGTCCTAATGCAAACAGCACTGAAGTCAGCAGTTTATAAAGGCACAGTTTGCTTGTTGCAATAATTAACTAGCAGGTAGCCAAAACAATGGCAGAAAGCAGATTGCTGTCAGGCATATTTAATGGCTTTTTTAAAAAAAAAATGGTGATCCCTGAAGCCTATTTACTTAAAGATTTTAAAAAAATAGATTCAGAATATAAAGCTTTATCTCATCAAATCAAAATCTAAATATGTGTTCATCTTACTGGAGCATGAAAAGACTTTTTCAGAAATTCCTCAATTGAACCCTTTTTATACCTCTTTTTTGGTGTTCAAATCTCCCAAATAATTTACATACCTGTATAAATAATTTAAAAAGCAAGCCAGCATCTCATATACAATATCTTTTTGACTTTTGTGTAAGAAGAAATGAGAAGGAGAAAGAGACAAATTCCTCTCCTACCTATTAAGTACAAACTAGACCTATGACTTCATATCATTTTATATAATCAGCTTATTAACTTTTAAGTCAGTTCTCTTAGCAATATGAAAATTAAGAAATGAAGCATATAGACTTTGCAGTTCAAATTTCTAAATAATCCTCCAGCAGAATTGCTTGTTCTGATGTAGAAAGAGAGGTTGTAGAACTGACAGAGATAATATATAATTGACAATGAATTAATATTGTCCCAGCATCAATCTCTGTGTGTCCATAAAACTGTGTAATATCCATTTCCACTGTCCTCCTGTTTCAAACTATTGGTATATAATTCAAAAGAACACAGTGGTCCACCAAAATAAATGTGTCTTTCAGAGCAAAACTGATATATGAAATAACTTATGTTTAAAAGGAAATCATTATGGCATGTATTCAAATTATACGAACCAGTGTTGCGGTTGGAACATCCAATTACCTTCTGACTTATATATGACACTTTCATCAGATTCCAAATGTGTGACACAGCACAAAAGGAGGGGAAAAGAGGGAAGAGAGAAATAAACACAGGCAGGAGTTCTTAGTCTCTAGCACAAAAAAAAAAGAGTCAGGAATCTGGCAACACTTTTTTCAACTGACAAATATTATGAAAGATTTTGTGAGCTGCAATTTACTTGTAAATATTGCCATGCACTGGTTTGAAGAGGAAAGGAGAGCGGGAGGAGGGGAGGGAAGGGGAGAGAAAGGGAGGGAGGGAGAGTGGGAGGGAAGGAGGGAGGGGGGAGAGGAAGGGAGGCAGGGAGAGTGGGAGGGAGGGAGGGAGGGAGCAGGGAAGGGGATGGAGGGGAGGAAGGAAAGAAAGATAGAAGAGGAGTGGGGAAGGAAGGAGAAAGGAAGGAAGAATGGAAGGATCAGGGATGGATGGATGGAGGGGGGAGGGAGGAAGGAAGGAAGGAAGGAAAATAGGGGAGGGAGGAGGAGCTAAAATAAGGAAACTAATTAGAAAAGAAGGAAGAGGTTGATGACATCTTTTCCCCAACAAAACCAATGCATCAGATCAAGAGTTCCATTTGCTCTCTACTTTAGCTCTGACCAGCAGTCAGAGAGCCAACAAATTTTGTGATAACCCATTACTGTTGTCCTTCCCTATTAAATTCTTTTCATGGACTTTGGGATTCAAGTGTGTAATCCATTGTCTTTGTTTCAGCCAGTGGTACAAAAGGGCTTCAATTCTGGCAGCTCTGTCAATTCCCAACAGTAATTGTGTGCAGCAAAAGCAGACCAAGAGGAGCTGATGCCGTGTAGTTCCGCCATGTGAAATTGGAAGAGCAAAGCCCAGAGGAAAACAGCTGGTACAGCAACCCAAGGAATCCTGTAAACCTGTCATCTTAATAGTTACTCAAAGCCAGTGAGGACATTTTAATATCATCGCTGCTCAGAGCTCTCAGAGTTTGTAAAGAAGGGTTTCTTCTATCCCGGGGTTGAAGTATAAGAGTCCCTGTTAATCTTGGTATCTAATCATCTGACCACTTTGCTATGGGGCACTGATAAAAAAAGCATTCTGCTTCTTGAATAAAAATATAAAAAAAATGACAATCCATTTATATTCCTGTCCTGTATAAGCCGTAAGCAGGAAGGTGTTTCTTTAAAAAGAAGAAAGGTAAGTGCCACTTAACGAGCCATGGTGGCACAGTGGTTAGAGTGCAGTACTGCAGGCTATGTCTGCTGACTGCTACAGCCATCAGTTTGGCAGTTCAATTCTCATCAGGCTCAAGGTTGACTCAGCCTTTTATCCTTCCGAGGTCAATAAAATGAGGACTGTCGGGGGCAATATGCTGACTCTGTAAACTTCTTAGAGAGGCCTGTAAGGCACTATGAAATGGTATATACAGTGGTGGGATTCAAAAACTTTTACCACTGGTTTGGTGGGTATGGCTTGGTGGGTGCACTTTGCGCACGTGCACACGCTTTGCATGCACATGTGTGCCAAACACACACTTTGCACAGGCGCCGAGGCATTTGCGCAGGCGTAGAGGCATTCCAACTCACCTCCTGCAAGCCTGCCCTCTCCCGATCGCTTCAGCAGCTGCCACGCAGCACCCTTCTGTGCCATGCAAAGCAGCTGCGCTTCAAAAGCAGAAGATAAAGGTGAGTATGAGAGCCCAGGTGGGCAGGTGGGCCCAAAAGCAGAGTGGCAGAGAAAACAGCAGAGTGGTAGTCTCTGCTGCTCATCACCGGTACCGGCTCAGCAGAACAGGGCCGAACTGGTAGCATACCACCACAGGATATGTAAATCTAAGTGCTATTACCAAAATATGGACCAAAGTTTATATGATAATATCTAGGATATCTTATGAAAAGATACTTTTCCTTCTATGGAACCCATGGTAAATCTCCACAGACTTTGATGGCCTTGAATACAGGGCAGTAATTGAAAGAAGTGAAATGAGTCTTTTAATTGAGTTGAAATGGGGGTATGTGTTTGTGAGTCTTGTAGATTTCTCAGGAAATCCTAAAAGGTCTTTCCTGATTTTTATGAGAACTGAAGTCCTGCAGTCTAGGAGGCCTTTTTAATGAATCTCCAAGCAGGAGGAGAACCGTAGTATTCCTCTAGTTTGCACAATTGTCTTTTCCAATTATTCTGTCAAGGCAACAGACAGACTCAGTGGTATTGCTTTAAAGATTTAATAGTGGGGAAGAGAGAGAAAAGACTAGAATGCCAGAAATTACTTCCCTCTCATACTAAAAGCACTAAAGTTTAAACCTGGCCCTTGGGGAGTCCAAAATTTCATCTCATCTTGCATTGCTAAAAACAATGGTTTTTTAAAAGTAAATTTCTTCCACCCCAATAACACGGTTGATACAAATAATTGAACTGAAAAAGTAAAGCTGCAAATATCACATTTCACAGGAGACAGGGGAGGGGGCAGGTGGAGGTGTTTGCAGGCAATCCAAAATGGAACACACATCCTGCTGGCAGGTGAAAATATGTGATATTCATAGCACCTTTAGAAGTACACTACCCAAAGTATTCTGGGAACATCAAGTGATTTCTTAAGAGCATTTTCAAAGCAAGTTGCTTGTTGCTTGCAAATAGTCAAACTCTTTAATTGAGAGGTTAATTAAAAATATCGGATGGAATGATTTAAATAAATGTAAACAACAATCTCCAATATTTCAAGAAAAAAAGACAAATACAAGTAGTGACTAGTGTCTAGAGACAATGAAAAGAAAGGGAATAATGAATTAGTGAAAGTTCTTCCTTTAAGAATATTAAAAAAGGAAACTTTTTACTTTGAAGAGGAAGATTGTTAGATATGTTTGCCACCTTGCAAAAATAAAATAAATAAAATAACGGGAAAGGTGGAATACAAAAAATAAAATAAAAATTCACTTTTCCATATTCATTGTATGTATTGTGAGTTTGAAAGAATCAGGGCCATAGGTTAGGTTGCAGCAGAGAAGATTTATTTAAATCTATACACAAGAATCTGGCCAACTAAAATTCAACACTAAATTGGCACCAAATAAGGGCCAACAAAATTCAGGAGAGGTTGGGCCTGGGGAATACAATGACTCTAAGCTAATGATGCCTTTAACTCTGCCCTCAGTTCTGCCTACTTCTCTCCTATATTGAAGAATTTAAAGTGATTTCTTGTTTATGAAAGAGAGGGGAGGGGATAAATGATAGACATAGATTTGGAAAAGCAGCCATAGCCAGGCAAAAATGCTTCCTAACACAAGGCCTGTGAGTAAACCTTGAGTGGGAAATGAATGAATAAATCCACCTCCTCTCATGTTTCTGTGGATGTAAATGTTCAGCTCATCCCTTCTCCTAAGGGGCGGTAAACATTTACATCCCCAGAAACATAAGAGGGGAAATAGACTCATTCATTTATTCCCTGCTCCAGGAATTGACTCACAGGCATTGACACCACTGTTTTCAGTGGCCTATTTCATTAAACCACACCCACCTTTTTTAGGAACATAACGATTTCCAGAGGCAGCCTCACAAAAGTGTGGGTATATATAGGAGGGAAAAGAAGAAGACAACAAGCAGACAATGAAGTGGGAAACAACATCTGGATTTACAATTGTTACAGGCAAGCAAGAGAAATCAGCCAATTGCGAGGACCACAAGCTAGAGTAAGCAGTCCACTGTGATGTGATTCCTTCTCAGAACATGGCCTGGAGCTTGGTAGCAACCAGAAGAGGAACAACCAGTGAGGCAGCAGTTAATTCCAACTAATGCAAGAACTTTGGAAGGAGTCCAAAGTTGTCTGCCATTTTACAGACTTCAAGAGTTTTGTTATAAGATGAGCCATCAAAGACTTATTTACCTGGCTCCATCAACTTGCAAAGCTTAGCCAGGTCATGTTAACCCAGGTAACAGGAAAGGCATATGGTATGATAAAGTATTTTGCACAGTTTTCTTCTATGCTATGACATGCCCAGTATTTGAACAACAAAGAACCCTCACCATATGTAGGATATGTACGGTACAATACATAAAATGTTTGTCTTCTCCAGAGCTGCATCTTTTCCAGAAACCTTGGGAAAAGTCTCCACATCCCACCTAATATTTTTTTCCAAGTTTGCTTTTCCATATCAAGAAAGAGAGAAATATAAATAAGACAAAAAGCAGTAACTTCTGTCCTGCTCCGAGTCTCTTCTTATTGTAGTCCCACCTACTTCTTAAGAGTGCAGACTTCAGCATTTTACTCCCAGACCAAATGTGATCTTTGTAGTAAAAGAGGTGGATATGAGCTAAAGAAGTTGAGTTCAACTTCTGATTCATGCTTTTTTTCTTAATGAACAGTATGGAAAGGGTTTTTCCACTGCTTTTTCCTTGAATACTTTATTGTTCAAGCCTTCAGCCTTGTCATTTCCTGGTGGTCTCCCACCCAAGTTATAAAAAAGATAAGTCTATTTCAGTTCAAGTTTTCAAGACTTGCCAAGATCAGCCAGTTGTCTTTCATTCTTAGCTAGAATATGCATATAATCAACATATCTGATTATATGCTGGCACATAGCACTTGGAAGAACTGCAATGTCTGGCATGAATAACATCTGGAAGAATAAAGACATCAGCCTCACAACCAAATGCAGATTAGTTAACACAATTATTTTTCCAATTGCTACTTATAGCTGCGAAACTTGGACTCTGAAAAAGGCAGAGAGGAGAAGTGTGGACACTTTGGAATCATGGTGCCGAAGGTGACCATTACACATCCCATGGGCTGCAAAAATACAAAGAAGTCCTTGATCGAACCTCACCAATAACCTCACTCAAAGCCAAGATTGCCAAACAGAGGATGTCATATTTTGGTCATGTCATGGGAGCTGACTCACTCGAAAAATCAACCATGCTGGCTGGGAGTGATCAGTGGAAAAAGGAGAAGTGGGCACCCTAGTACCCTGCTGGACTGGACACTATAAAGGATGACACCGGGATGACCATGGCAGATCTGAAGGAGGCAGTGCAAGACAGAGAGGCATGGAGAATCTTGATCCATAGAGTAGACAAGGGCTGGACCTGATTGAATGGCTGACGACAATGAATCAACATATCACAACAATGAGGTTTGTTACTAAGAGCTCCAGCCTTCCCTTTGTCCAAATGATTAAGTCAGATACAGAACATCTCATCCACTTTTCCATGTCCCCCCCCACCACAAAAAAAAAATATTACGAAGAAGTTGGACTTGATCATGGATCTATCAACGCCAATCCAGTGTTTCTCCCCCCACTACACCACACTTAATCTCCATTTCTTATTCAAAGCAATGTGAACTCTGTGACAGCAGAAGAGGCAGCATATGAATTACCTATCATCCAATGACATTTCTCATTATAATTCAAAATGAAGATGACTTTGATTGTTCATACATGTTACTGAAAGCTGATTACAAGTCATGATATAAGAAGCACAATTATTAATGCGGTATCGGTATTTGCATCTTCCACTCCACTATCAGAAAAGCAAGTTAGAGGAAAGCATTTAATTAGGAAGCTCTCAGTATTAATTTTCTAGTTTAATAGGCCTTTCTAGCTGATAACAGAACTGATTATATGCCAGCAAAGAACTGCCTGGATCTTGCCTTGTTTTCCCTTTCCCTTGACAAGCTGGGGATAAAGATTGGAAAGGGAGTTGTATATTAATTATTTTTAAAATGCTCTCTCTGCCAGTCAAATTGATCTAACCGTAAGTCAAACCCTTTTGCCCCCACACAACTTTCTATGCTATCTAAATATTTTCTGCAGGATGAAAAGAATCACATGGTGCCATAATACAGGGATGCCAAAATATGAAGCTCTTCTTGTTCAAACAAAGCAAAGCCAATTCAGCAAGAACCAGCTCTGTCTAAGGACGATTATTTGCACACTGCTTAGAAAGAAAGAAAAGGAAGATATTGATGCCATGAAATAGAACTAAAGGATGATTCTTTTTTTGCCTTGCTGAAATATCAGGTTTTGTGGACTTTATGCTGTCAGCATTCCCAGCTACATAAGAGACACCACAGACTGAATTTAGTTCAGCTCCTGAGAACACCATTTTAACTGTGGTGGATGTTGAAGTAGTATGCACCAACAATTCTCACAAACACAACTTTCAAGCTTTCAGTAGCATCCTCACTGATGCCAGAACAGCAGGCCTGCCTTCCAGATCATGTACTCACCCATAACTGCTTCACCTTTAGTAACATCGTATACCTGCAAATCATAGGCTGTTATGGTATGCATGGCTCTACATTATGTCAACATCTTCACAGCTGATCTGGAACAATACTTTCTTAATATTCATCCCTTGAAACCATAACACAGCTCCCCTCCTACGCTATTTAAATTTGCAGTACAATGAATCAGTTTCCGTTCTGAAATTATAAATGGGAAAAGGTTATTTGGCTGAAAAGCTACTGTATTATGATTCAAAATTGTTTCTTTGAAGACTGAAGGGTGGGCTTTAGCATTCCATGAACCCCTAAATAAGCCCAACCTCCACGGAGTTATTTGGTTGGAACAGGAGGATTAAATTCCATATAAATGAAGTGAAATATATGTATCCCAGAATAATGTTGCAGGATCCAATCTCAGTCATTCAGCAGGACCAATGTTTTATTCTTCAAGCTTTCAGACTTGCACTGGAGCCCATCCTCAGGGCATTACACATTAAGGGATGCTGGTTTGTGTGTGACTTAGTTGGTAAGCAGTGTGTTGATGGCTAGCTATTAAGTCATTAATTTTTGTTTCTTTGTGCCACACCATCCTTGGTTCTTAAGTATGTAGTGGTAAATGAGTACTCCCATTGACTAACAAGAGGCCCATTTCCCAGGCTTCAATCATTTCTCTGGCTTTTTTTTTTTTTTGTCCCTGTTCATCCAACAACCTTAGTGGTTCTGAAATTAAATGCATGTCCTTGTTCACTGCAATGTGAGATTAAAAATGAGTTCAGGTCTCCTTGTCTAACCACTCATTTGTGTTCTCATACTAATTTTTACGGATGGAGTCATTGCTATTTTAAATTGATCTGTCTTGGAGAGGGTCAATTAATCACCCATTTCCTGCTAAGGAATCATGTGCAACTTTAGTTTCCCCATTTCCAGAAACTGGGATGAAAACAAAGCATTTTAGTCTATCAACTGATAACACAGGAAGAAAAGAAAACGAAAAACATGCAGTGCATGGGTAATCGGAATACGGTGCATGCCTATCAATGGAGTTTTTTTCCCATGCAGGATGGTGTTGGGCAGGCTGACATTTTACCCAACAGAACAACAAATCACAGTCTTTTGAGTGTAACTTGTTAAAGCTGAATGAACAGCAGTTCAACACAGATCCATTGCTGGGGTGCCCAGCAATGGATCTGTGAAATGTGGAGACAGTAAGAACTGTGTTTAAACAGCAGTGTTTAAGTTAGTATTGCATTATACCAACTGCCTTAGACTACAGTTTCCATAATTCTATAGTTAGCATTGTCTAAAATACCTAAATGCATCAGGCTGAGAAAGACAGATCTGCATGAAATTCCAGGAATGGAATAAAACTATAAAGACAAATAAAGCTCATAGGAATGATCTGGATTTTTAGAATCAATATTTATCTGACAGTTTCCACAAGTCCTCAAATTAGGCTGAAAATGAGTTGCACCTGTGGTAGCTGATTTTCATCCCTCAGGTAAATTACTTAGCTCCAGTATTCAGATTCAAGCCAGTTGATCCCCAGAGGTTTCAGACCTTGTAGAGATGCATGATAAGTGGTCAAATTCTTGGCCAGAAATCCTCAAACCCTGATTGTAAAGCCTCCCTTGTTTCCTGATTCTTTTCATTTTGCTACTGGCAAAATTAAATTGTCAGAGCTGGGTGAAACAAAATCAATTTACGCTTATTAAATAGTTTTAAGGCAGCTTCTGTATATGAGGCATGGTGTTATTCACATTGTGTGCATCTGAAGAGGGGGGTCTGATTTCTTCATGGTCAATGAGGTGATGTGTCTGCTGAGTATGCATAAATTTCGAGGGATGCTCGAAGTCTCAGTCATTTGCAGACCAAGGCAAAACTTCCTCAGATTGTGATGTTAATTTAGACTGGGGAAGAAAATTGCTGAGACTTGGGAAAGGAAGGAAGTTGAAATGGCTAATTTTCAGGGTACCTTGGAGACCAATGATCAACATCATCTCCTTGCTTCTGCTGTTCCTCTCCTGGCTTTACTGCTACTGCCACTGGTTGCACTGTGGTCTTCCCCTACCCATGTA